CCAGCAGGCAGGAAGCTAGCCAGCCAGAAGGCTGGCGCTCCCCACCCGCAGCTCCCTGTGCACCGGAAGCCCTCCTTCCGGGAAACCACGAGGCCGGGAGTGAGTCACCGGTCCAAAGACCCAAAAAACCGGCGCTCCCCGCCTGAGGCTCCCCGTGCGCTGGGGGCCCACCCTCCGGGAGCCAGCAGGCAGGAAGCTAATCTACTGGGTCAGTTTTATGTCATGCTCTGTATAGTTTTATACTAGGAAGAAGAAAACAGTGCCATACCATCCTTTTTTAAGTACATGCAAAGCTGGGGAAAGGAAGTAATCTTGCAGTCAGGTTCTTCGTGGCCCCAGCTGTTTTGTTTGCTTGAGGGAGACTAGGAGAGAGGAAAACTGTAGGGAGGCAAATTTCAGCTTAGGCTTAGAGAAAGCTGTTCTAGACCGTGTTGTGTAAAGATGGAGGGAGCATTTATGAGTGCATGAAACATTTTTTTTGTGTGCTGTAGGGGATTGAACCTGTGGCTTCATGCATGCTAGCCAAGCATTCTACCATTGAGCTATATCCCCATCCTTTAAAAAAATTTTTTTAGCACATGTTTGTGATACATGACTATTTTCATTGTGAGCTTTTGGTACATGTATGTGATACATCGTAGTCTTTTAGTCTCTTTCCCCACCGCTTTTCCCCCATCCTTCCCTCTCTTGCTGCCTTTGTCATTTGCATCAGATCTGTCTCCCTTTTTCTTTTTGTCTTTTATTTTGCTCTTTAATTTGTTTATACTTCGGTTTTCTCATATGTGGGACACAATAAGGTATTTAGGCTTATGTGTCTGATTTCTTTCACTTCACATTACTGTTTCAAGGTGCCTCCTTTTTTCTACAAAAGACTTCAAATGAGAAAGGGTCTTATACATGCTGCAGCTGGCCTGGAGCTTGATGGGGCCTTTCCAAAGTTGCTGGCATTCCAGACTTAAGCCACCATGCCTGGCTGGAATGCTTTTTAATTCAGCTAACATTTGAACTAAATGCAAGGGATAACAATTCTAATAGGCTATGCAGTGGTGTTCTTTTTTAACTCTAAGGATTCTGTCAATTTGATTTCTTTGCAATTAATATGTACAGTAGGTAGCTGTACAAGCATATCTTACCTTTTGAGGTTTTTATCTGTTAGTCTTAAGTATCATGTCTTTTGTGGCACTACTACACCTAGCCCCCTCTAAGTCTAGCTCTAACCATCAAGAATAAAACAATTCTGGGGGACTGATGAGTGATAAAGCACTTACTGTGTATAACACCCTGGGTTTGACCCTCAGCATCACAAACAAAAACATTCTTGAGAATGTGGAAGGAAATCTGAGCTTAGTAAATAAGGTCAAGGGTTTTATTTTGTAAGGCTGGCCGTTTCAGAGATACTGTGTAATTATTTCCATAAGTGTTTACTAAAGTCTGATTGAAAAGTTGACATCAGGGGCTGTTACGAGAAACAAACCATGGGAATTCCTATGTGATGAGTCTCATCCTGTGCCCTACTTCATCTTTGTATTAATATAAATGGAGGGTGAAATTGCACATTCATAGCAGTGACTGAGTCATCAAGGGAAGACTAAGGTTTTTCTCTCATATAATCAAAAAACAATTTTTAGAGGTAAGTTTTTTGATAATCTTTATGAGAAAAAGTCATAAATGTTTCAGAGCTTGGCTTGAGTGTTATCCTTGAAAAAAGCATCAACTTTGAGCAGTTTCCCCAGGCATTCTAGGTGATTGAGGTACTGCTTTGTTTTGCTTTGTTTCTGCTTCTTGATGTGAGCAAACCGTTTTGGCAGACTTGAACCAAACTGATAAAGTATGTCAGCATGTTGTCGTGTTGAAACTCACTGTTTTTCTACCGCTCCTTCCTGCCCTGTGATTGCGTGGAGTCATGGCATAATCTGCATATAGGTTTTATACATTGTCCTGGTTTTCATTATTAATTTAAGGGGACAGTTAATGTTTAGTAAAACATATTCTTGGTTTAAATTTATCTTGAGTTTTGTGATTTCCTTCAGAAAATAAAATGCAACTGTTACATAAAGTGCCTTGTGGTGCCTGACAAACCATTAGGTACTCAGTGTAGGCACTGCTAGGGGCTTTACATGTGCTGACCTATTCAGTCTTTACACAGTGCTATGGAGTCGGTACTATGATCATTCCCGTCTTACATATGGGGAATTACATAACAAGTTTGCTGACATAGCTGTGGATTACCTAACTAGTAAGTGGCAGAACTGAGATTTATCAAGAGTCATTCTGTCGCTATATCATTATGTTGGTAACTGTTACAGGTCAGTTGTGGAACTCCCTTGAAGAGTTCATGTTAGAGATAGCAGAGGCATGTCACATATAATTGCAGTGTAACTGGATAGAGGAGTGTATAAGAGATAAGCAAAGGTGGCCGTTCTTCCTTTGTTCTCTCTTTAATTTTTCTTTTAAAGTGAGACCTACATTGGTAGTTGTCCGCCAAACTCCATTTTTTTTTTTTTTTTGAAAAGATGTGGAGACAGCAACATCACAAGACATTTTTTGTTGTCACACTTGGCTGAAGAGGGGGATACAACTGGCATCTCATGAGTATGGGCTAGAGATGCTGGCAAACACCTTAAAAGATGTATTAGTGTGTGTTTGTAATACATGATGCATTCATCATGGGGAACTGGTAATATACATTTTATTTTATATTTAGACAGGGTTTTACTATGCAGCTCAGGCTGGCCTTCAACTCACTTTGTAGCCCATGCTGGCCTCAAACTCAGAGTGATCTCCGTCAGCCTCGCCTTGCCTGCTTACATATCACTTCTTAATCCTGTTTACCTCCTCTACGCCTCTATCCCCAAATCCCCTTAGCATCTGCAAAAAGTTTTATCCAGTAAACATCTTTAAAATGTATAGGAAAACTCTTGAGAACCAATAATTACTTGGCCCTGAATGTGAATAATGCTACTGAGAAAAGTTGAAATCTTTAAATATTCGTTCTGCGTACTGTGTATCTTTCCAGATATGCACATATGTTTCTTTTGAATGCCTTAGTGTAATATGAATGTGTTTGTCTTCACCTGGGTTGCTGTAACGGAATATAGACTGGCTCCAACAACAAACATCTATTTCTAACAATTTTGAAGGCCTGAAAGTCCAGGATAAGCCCCGGATCCGCTGGAAGCCAGCAGACCCAGTGTGTGGTAAGGGCAGTCTTTTGGCGTGCAGATAGCCTCTTATATCTTTACATAGGGTAGATGGGGAAAGAGAGAAAGAAGGGAAAAGAGCAAAATCTTCCCCACCTCTTAAAAGGGAACCAAAAGTGTCATGAGGCCTTCACTGACATGACCCAGCCATCTCAAGGGCTTCTCCTCCAAATACCATCATCTTGGGGATTAGGATTTTGACATAAATTGGGGGGGCAAGTAACAGATATTCAGTTTATAGCAGTGTTCAAGCTTTTTTAAAAAAATATTTCCCCCCAAAACATTGTCTCAGTGTGTGTCTGTGTGCATGCGTGTGTCTGCATGCACGCTTGCATATTTCTGTAGTGTAATGAACTGTTCAGTGCTAAAAATATTTGATACTGCAAAACTGTTCTTACCCTAGAAGAGCTGAGGTGTGTTGTTTTTTACTAGGCCTTAAAAGTATAATTGGTTTTCTGCTGGATAGGCAAAGGAGAAAGGTGTCCCAAACAGAAGGTAAGCAAGTGCAAAGGCATACAGGCTAGAAGCCCATGGTTACCGTACTGTGGGCAGTATTATTTGAACTCCGGAGTGGCAAAGACAAAGCAGACTATTAATAAAATCACAGTTTGAGTCTGGTGTGGTGGCGTACACCTGTAATCTCAGCACTCAGCAGGCTGAGGCAAGACGACTGCTGTGAGTTCAAGGCCAGTCTGGGCTACCCGTTGAGTTCAAGGCTGGTCTAAACTGCATAGTGAGATCCTGTGTCTAAATAAATAGATAAACAGCGTAGTTTGAAAATAGGATCATAATTTTATTTCATTATTTAAAAAATAATACTTTTAGTGTGATCAATATAATTTAAAAAATATTCTCAGATACTAATTACAGTTTTTACATGATACAAAAAGCACAGTGGAAAGATTACCTGTTGCGTATGAGGGAAGCAACATAGATCCAGACAGACAAAACATTTTTAGGATACGGGTGGATGTACACAGCTAAAGCAAATTCAGCATTAGGAACATCGATATTATGTACTCCGGTGCTGTACACAGCTTCAATTAAAGGCTTCACTTCAGAATAGGGCATGTGAAGGGGAAATCCAGAGAACTAAAGAAAAAAAGAGTCGTTAGTGAAGATTGAAGAGGTCAGTATTTCTCTACATAAATGAATGTTAATTCTTAAATTTTCGAGATCACAGGATCACTTCTGTGTTTCTTGTCGGTGAGACATTAATACGGAAAACGGGGAGAGGATTAATACAGTTGCTCGCATAGTAGTGTGTAAGACACCTGTTAGTCACCCCTTCTCCACTGTGCCCTTCGCTCTTCCTGGTGGTGCCTGGTGTGCCTAACTCGTAATTACACAGCCTGGGTTAAGCTAGTGATTCCATTCCACTTCTGGCTATAAAAATTAAGCCACAGAGTGGCATTGGATCAGCCCGAGTCTCAGGAAACACAGATCTGTTGCCCACTTTGGGCGAACGTGTGCAGGCGTGTGTCGTGGGCCTGTTTCAGCATTTGCTTCGAGAAACAGCCAGCTTTCCCATGGCGGGGAGCAGGGAAGAGCAGCAGAGAAGGGCAGGCCTGCGAGCTGCTCGCCTCTGAAGTCGCCGAAGGAAAGCAGTGCGTAGTCTACTGCTCAGGCCTCTGCATTTTCTGTTACTTGAACTGGAAATATCCTCAGTGACTGTCACTCTGGCTGTCACCTATGTTGCTATCATTGTCTCAATTATGACATTGCTTTGTAGCTTTTCGTACCCAGCTACAGGATAAGAACACAGCACTACCAAGAGGCAGTGGCAAGGATATATTGTCTATTAAGGAGAATTTTCTTAGCAGTGAAAAGCATAATGCAAAACTGCATCCTTAAAACACCTGATGTAGACTCCACTGTCGTGCACAGTTGTCTAACACAACTTAGATGTTTTCATTTTATTAATATTTGCTATGTATTTCATAAAAGTATTGTTTTTCTTAGGATTCTATTACAAAAATAGTATTTTCACTTTTTTTTCTTTTTTCTCACGCCAAATGGGTAATGTGCCGACATCATAACGAGGTTTGAGGGAGGCACATCTCACGCAGGTGGCATGAGCACCCGATCATCACGCTCATGAACCGAAGGATCAGTAGTTTCACTTTATAGGGACATTTTGTCATTTAGTATAGGTTACTTACAGAAGTTTAGAACTTTTACTAATACTCTTTATGCTGCTGCTTTCACGTACTTAGAGCAGTAATGTAGGGTATTTTGGTTGCAAAAACCCAGTACTTAGTAATTTCCAGTTTGAAAGGAAATCCGCCAGGCCAGCCTGTGCGTTTCCTGCTTACCCTGTAGTCTCCGAGCTGTTTCTGCAGTTCTGCTCTGTGGTCATCTTCCATGTCTTCCCCATGGCTTCTTTCTAGCAGAGGCAGGAAGTGGCGCAGAGTGGAGGTACAGTGCCTGTTCCACCGGGTCAGATGACGCGGTCTCCAGTCCATGATTTTTTCTTTTAGCATTTTTTCAATCCTGTTCATAAATGAACTCTTATTTGGTGACTTGACTTTTACCTTGTTAAAAAAAGTTTCTGTTGGTATTATTTATCAGATGGTTAATAACTACATATGTAGATAGTTTGATAGATTCTAACCCCTGGGGATTTAAAAGTCAACACATGTGGTTCTTTAAGGATTGTTTATGGGGGTGGGATGTAAAATAGAAATATAATTGCAAAGTACATAGAGTCCTAAGGGCAATAAGAGGTGCTGGAAAGTAACACAGGAAGGGGAACACTAAATGACTGGGGCCACTAAATTCAATACATTTGGCAAGATATTTTTTATTACTATAAAAGAATTTATTGCTGTATTCATTTGGTAACATATACTAATTAATAAATTCAACTCAGACATAAAGGGGTAGGGTTTATGTTGAAATCCTCAAATATGTATAAGGCTCTTATGGCTTATGCTTCTTTTTCCCCCAGTGACTTTTATTCATGATGGTAAGATTTTTTTTCTAAACTGCCTTAAAATTACTGTTAAAATACCATCATTGCAACTTAAATTTTAATAAATATCAGAATTGAGTTCATAGGATATGGAACTTAAATATAGAATGATGTAATATAGCTACCATTTCCTAAGCTGCTATTTACTGGGTACTGGGCTAAATGTTTTTTACGCATTTTTGTTGAACCTCTACAATAACCCATGAGGTAGAAGATAATGTACCGACTTTACAGATGAGGGGACAGTTTGAGTTAAGTGATTCGATTCGGGAAGGGAGATGATGTGCAAATTGAAATTGCTGGTTCTAGAGCTTCTCGTCCACATTCTAACCAAATGCAGAGATTTAGAGTTCTGGCCAGCTTCCCATTGCTCAGTTGCCATAGGGTCCCTTTTGTGCCAAGGGACCTGTGTCTTGGTTTCAGGATGGCCTAAGCAAGAAAATATGGGTGAATTGCCAAATACTTTAATACTGAAGAAGTACGTGATGAGTCTAATCGGTAGCATCTCTAAGATCTTAGGAGAAATATAGTAGGTAGAGATAAGTTCTTCTGCATGGGGATCCCAAATAAAACTTTATGGAGAAATTAAGAGTAATTGGGTGTTCTCTAATAATAATGTGTAAAAGGGGTCCTATATCAGTATAATGTACAATTTGATACAGTAGTTTTTACATAGCTTGATCCAGTGGAAAGGGCAAGTAGGTTTGGAAAGATCTGGCTGGATTTACCCCCTTTAACATCTAACAAGTATGTGGACCACTTTGGCCGTCATTTTCCACATTAGTGAAACTGGGAGAGTAAGCTGGATTTTGGTGTGAGTGGAATTACAGGGACTCAAGCTTTTATTACCAGCCTTCTCTTTGGGTTAGGTTCATAAACCAGCTGAAGTTGTATAAGCCACTAATTGGACAAAAGAAACATATTTAAGCTGATGATTATGGTGTGCCTCAACAAGATCTGTAATAACATGATCGTTAATCTAAGGTAAAGTCTTTGGAGAACTGCGTGTTTTTATTAGAGTTCACCTCTGTCTCACACTGTGCTGATGGTAGTACACTATTTTGAGCCATGAGATTTAGAGATCACATCTGTACTTGGTAGCTGTAGCTGTGGATTTAATTGCCCTAATTCTTTCATATAGATCCAGGCCAACGCTATGTAAAGTTTGGTATTGTTCTTCTAGTGAGGGATTACTTGTGGATTTACGGATAAGATGTTACCTGTCTTGTAGCTCAGCTGCAGCTGCTTTATCTGTGTGTTGATAAATTAGTTCTTCAGGCTATGAAAGAGATCATAGTTTGAAAATGCTAGAAATCATCTAGAAATTCTAAAAATCACTTAATTTCAATAGATGTACTTTAATTTTTTTAATTATGAAAGTTCAGATATTCAGTAAGATACAGAATAAGGATGATAGTGCACCCATGACCCACCATAAATAAAGCATCACAGATAAGTTATAGTGCTTTGTAGTTCTTTCTCTCATCACAGAAGCATGACCTGCATTTGTTTTAACATTCATTCATTCAATATTTAAATGAGTATTGTTGCCAGGTACCTTCACAGGTAATAGTAATAGGGATATTACCATGAATAATAAGTCCAGCTATCATGGTGCTTACACTGTAGTAAATGAGGACAGACAAACTAACCTGTGTTTAAGATTTTACTGCAGATATATGCATTCCTAACCAGTGTATTTTGCATGTTTTCTGAATTTTAGTAGTTTTATGAATGTGTGACTTTTTTTCTGAACATTATACAAGGGATAATAGCAAACACCGTGTTAGAATAAGATTTATTAATGTTAATTTATTTAACCACTATAAAATGTTACACTATATACTGTATTTTTTTTGGGGGGGAGGGTTTTCTCCAGTACCGGGAACCGAACTCACGACCTTGCACTTGCCAGGCAGGCGCTTTGCCGCTGAGCTAAATCCCCAGCCCCTGATCTATCATTATGAGTCTTATGCTATTTCAAACCATATTGCAATGAAAAACCTTGTATATGTCACTTCACATACGGAGAATTTCTCTAGAACACTGTTTTTCAAGTTTTTTGAATGGCTATGCCACAGTAAAAAAGAAAAAAAAAAATCGTAAATCCAGTAAGACATGCGTGTATCTAGCTCTCAGATGAAACACAAACTTAGTAACCACTGCCATTGCCTACTACTTACAACAAGGTGCTGCCAGGACTCTGTGTTAATTGAATGAGCCCTAGTGGATTGGAAATTGTTTCATTCAAGTTTTAGTAGTAGTTTTTGAAATCAGTTTAGTGGGTGGGACAGAATTTAAATAAATAGAATATATTTTGTGGTTCTTTCTATGTCATGGGACTTTTTACATAAAAACTTTGTCTTTCATATATAATCTAAAATATTCATAAATAGTTCTTGTACATAGGTAAACACACATTTCTTAATGTGAATTTGGCTCAAATACGTTTGAAAAACATACTGTTCTAAATTAAATAGCAAGGAGTAGACTTAAGGGCCAAGAGATATCTAGTTACTGCTGTGATGATTTCCTATCCTTCACTTTCCTTGTATTTATTTGTTAATAAAGGAATTATACCTGAACACTGGAAAGGCCAGGATATGGAAGCTTTCTTGAAAAAAAAGATTTCCATAGCTTGGGCTTGGTGACATCAAAATTTATCCTTAGTGGAGAATCATATTGTTGAATATTAAACCAAATCTAAAAAAGAAAAAACTACATTAGCGTATATGTTGGCAGATATATTTTATATACATATGATTGAAAGATAGGTGTTTGCCCAGGCTGCACAATTGGGTTTTTTTGGTCAGTCTTTGATATGTAAAATTTCTGTCCATCTTGCAGTCCGTAGCATCATGCAGTTGTCACTGGCCATTTTTTTCCCCATTTTTGATATGTGAAGTTAGGGTGTACATTATTATTGACATAGGATGATTTTTTTTTTTTTTTTTTTGGTACTGGGCATCGAACTTAGGACCTTGCACTTGGCGTGCAGGTGCTTGTGCCGCTGAGCTATATCCACAGCCCCTGGGTGTACGTTATTACTGATGGTGGGTTTGCTGAAGTAGGTTAGATCCTGACTGTGACACCTAACATTTTTAGGAGGAGGCAAGACCCCTCCTTTCTTAGCTTTCTTGCTCCTGTCCTCTCAGCCTCCTCGTTGACTGGTTGTCCACTGTTTGTTTCTACAGCACTGCAGTATCTGAGATGCACTTGTCATGGTGAAGCAGTACAACATATTGGTCCTGGAATCGGACCACCTGCATTTGAATGTTGGCCCAGCACTTATGTAGCTTCTGTGTGCCTCAGTTTCCTCCTCTGTGAAACTGGGATAAAAATAATAGCTACCTCATAAGGTTGAACAATGCCCAGAATGTAGTGTTCAGTAGTCTTTAGCTGTTATTATTAATCATTGTTTAGAACTTCCTACCCATCCTCACTAGACTACTAAATTACAGCTTGAGGACATTCACCGTATCCCTTCTTCACTACTGGATCTTACTGTCTAACACAACTCCTGCCATATAGTGGTCACACTGAGTGTGTGCATGAATGGTGAATTTGTCCATGCAACATATTTAATCAAGTGTCCACTCAATATATTTATTCAAGTACTTACTCAGTTCTAATTACTGCTGATAAAGTAGTGAATGAAACAGCACTACCCTTGGAATATCTAATGAGGTATGCAGCAAAGGAGTAAATACATGGGCTACCAAGTGATACTGAATGATGTAGTAGAATGTATCATTGACCCTAGTTCTTAATGCCTTCCTGTCATCATTCCCTTTCTCGTTAGTTTTCAGTTCCTTCCATCCAAACGGATGAAACATCATTTCCTGCTCTCTGGCTGTTGGCCAGTAGTGAGGGTGGAAGTTTTAGTGTGTCACGAATCTAAGCGTAGGGCTTTGTGTGTTGTGCCTGCGCTTCTGTGCCTCTTCCATTGGCACTGGCCAAAGGCCCAGAATGAACACACGGAGGCATCCCATCCAACCCATGGGCCTGTGAGGAGAAGCAGAGCCGCCCATCCTCATGAGCAGAGCCTTCCCAGCAGAAGTACAGGTCCGTCCACAAGAATAAGTGTTTGAAGGTGTTTAGTTTGGGAATGGGTTTTTACTATCTTTGTAGTGGGGACGGCTAGCTGTGTAAGGGCTACGGAGAAAGCTGACCTGCAGAAGCAGATGAAATTTTAATGTGGGCAGGGAAATTCTCCCTATAAAAGTTACATATGATTAGAAACGCAAGAAATGACAGAGAAATTTATGAAAATGTCTGATAAAAGCGAAATGGCCATTTATGCAGGAGAAACAGCAAGTGCAGTGTGCTTGACTTACCTGATGTACAGCAAGTGGCCTTACAGGGGTAGGAAAGCTGGAGCGAGCAAGTAACCACTGCCATCAGCAGAGGACGGGGGCAGGGACAGGGTGGGTGTTGGGTCATGGAGGCCTGAGGGCCATTTGGAAGATTTAGGCTTTGATTCTTGAGTGTTCAGGGAAACCGCTGGAGTACTCTGGAGGAGTGTTGTAATTTGTCTCCCATTTTAACGGGAGTTCTTTGCTGTTCTGAGACTGGACAGAAAAGGACGGGGCAAGTAGTGAAGTCTCCAGTTAGGAGGTGTTTCCCCCCTAGTAACCCAGTGGAAGGGACCTGAGTGGAGATGGCAGCAGTGAAGCAGTGAGCTGTGGCTGGAGTCTGTCTACTGTGAAACACAACCAGTAGGCTCTGTGATGGAGATGATCCGTGGTGGAGGTGGGTTGGGTCGTAGAAGAGAGAGACAGAGAAAGAAAGGAATGAAAGACGACTTAAGGGCTTTGGCCTAAACAGCTGAGCTCATGGAGCTGCCATCTATTGAGACAGGAAAAATGCAAGAGGAAATCGGATTCCAGTTTGGGTGTGCTAAGTGTGGAGGCTTCTGTGATATGCAGATGAGGATATTGAACGGGTGAGTGGATATTTGAGGCCGAAATTCTGGGGAGCTGGATGAGCTGGAGATAAAAATTTGGATGTCACCGGCATACATATAGCATTCCTAGGAAGGGAGTATAGAAAGAAAAGAGGTTTGGTGAATTTTGAGAATCTTTACTGTTTCAGATTTGAAGAAATAAGGAAAAATCAGTAAAAGACATAGAGAAGTGATGGCCAGTGAGATAGGGGCCTTGATGACTTGGAAGCCTAATCAAGGGATTGTATGAAGAAGCTCACGTCTTTAAGGACTAATGTTTGGCTGTTGGGTAGGGAACGTGCAGAGTAGCACTACCTGGGATGAAGGTGGGTGAGACTAGATTATGAGGTTTTGAAGTGTACGGTGAGAAGCTTTCCCTGACGTGTATGCAGTGAAGTACCTCTTATGTCTTTGAGCCATAGGACAAAACTGAACATTAAGAAACTTAACTGGCACCAGTATGTCAAATTTTGTGAAGTGAACTGGAGACTTTTATTTGGGTTTTACAGTAATGTAGGGTAAAACGGTAAGACCATGACCTAAGAAACAGAAATGGTAGGGTTTATTTGTTATTGTTATTTGTTACCTAATAGGATTAAAGGAAAAAGTAAGGAAGAGGTAAAAATCAAGGACAGTTCTGGAGTTTGAATCTGAGTAACTGACATTCACAGAAACAGAAGACAAATTGGCTTTGGAAGCAAAAGAGAAATGGCTTGAAGTTTAGATGCATAGACTTTAAGATTTTGATTAAGCACTAGGGTATCTAGTTCATAACTCAGGACTCAAAAGTTTCTGAGGCTCAGACAAGCATGGGAGGCTGAAGCAGGAAGATTGGTGCAAGGCTGGCCTGGACTACATAGACTGTCGCAGGGGAAAAAAAAACCCTGAGGCTCTTGACAGAATTATGACTACTGTGCCAGCATTAATTACGTAGTCATATTAATAATAGGTGTGACCTTGAGGAAAATCTACTGTAGAAATTTTAGGAACATCTACTCTTAAGATGTGGGAAGAAAAAGCAGTGGGAGAAACAAGAAGCTATTGCAGAAAAAATTTAAACCAAAGTGTTTCATCAGTAAACCAAGGAGAGGAAAATTTTTTTTTAAAAAGTAATTAGCCATGTTATGTTTTACAGAAAGGAGAAGAATGAGGAGTGAGAGAAAACTGTTGGATTCACTTCTTCACTAGCAAGTGTGGAGTTGAATTTCTGTAGTTTGATTAAGGAGAAGAAGCTAGATTATAGCAGGCAAAGGACTGCCTGTGCTGATGAAGTGGAAGCAGGCAATAAAACTGTGTGAAGAATTATGAAAGGAACGAAAAGGGTGTTACGGTTTAGATCGGAAATGTCCCCCATAAATCTAGCATCCAGAGGTTGGGCCTGAAAAGAAGGAAAGGGTCACTGGGACCATGACCTGGAAAGGTGTGGTCTTGTCCTGGCTCCTTTCACGCCTGGCTTCCAGGCCAGCCCTAGACTGAGCAGCTTACCCCTGCCTTGCCTTTCCACCATGATATCCCTCCCTTGGAGTCAGACTACTGTGGACTGAATTCTCCCAAAACCATGAGCAAAATTGAATTTCTCTTTTATGATGGCGGTGTCGGATATTATGTCTCAAAGATCGAGAAAACTGATTCTTACAGGTCTAGGAGTAGAAATAAAAGTGGGAAGGGAAGAAGCTTATTTCTTGTAAAAGAACAGCAGGAGGAGAAAGACTGATCCTCCAAAGAAGTGGTGCAGTGGAGTGGAAAGCAGCTGAGGTTTGGAAGTGCCAAGCTGTGCTGGCTTCAGCAGCACATACACTGAAATTGGAAATGCCAGGCCAGCAGGACGTGGCCTGCACTGAGAGTAGTCAAGGCTTAGAGTAGGATGAGATCAGCTGCCCCAGGGATGCACAGCATTGCAAAGCACTATTGTTTTTATCAGTGGAGAAGAGAGAGATGTTTCTTCCTCATAAAACATTAGCTTTATGAGAACTAGTCAGACATAGAGTAATTGTCTTTAGTGCTAATAATTTGGCAGAAAGTGGAGTTCTGTAAACAACTTTTGAATGCCTGTTAATCCTGCTTGATTACTACTGACCTTGAAGTGATCCTCTAAATGCAAATGGAGCTTACGAAACTATTTATGATTATGATACTGACTTCAATTCAAAATAATAATTAATGTGCAAACAGAGCTCCACTGTACTTTTTCCATGTTTGAAATTAATGATAGTTGCTGTTTGAACACTCATGAAAGACAGGTACTTTGCTAGGTGTAGGTATATATTAACTAATTTTAGCAGCAACCCTCAAGAAGAGACCAGTTGTCTTCAGAGTAAGGTTTATACCCCAAGATACAGAAATAAATTATGATTTTCTAATTATTCATGTTCATTTCAAGGTGTTTTTATATAATATAAAAGTGATATATGTGTAAATATAGTTTATAAATAAAATATTATATAAATATTGTTATAAGTTTTATCTAGAAGTACCCCCAAAGCCTCATGTACTTGTAGATGGGGTTTTTGGGGGATGGCTGGATCATGGGTGTGTAATACTGGATAATGGATGTGATAACTGGATCATTCTGCTGATTGATTTAGCATAACTGTGGGTGATGGAATCAGTGGAGAGAGCAGCCCCAACCCTGGGTGTAAGTGGCACCAATAGGCTTGAGGCCTAGATGTATAAAGAGAAAGAAGGAAGGCAGGTTTGCTGCTTCCTGCCTCCTGCTTCTGGCCTGCCCTGCCATGGACTTTCTGTCTTCTGCCACGCC